ACACCTAGTTAGAAGATAAAAAATAGATGGGAAGTTTCTCCATAAATAGGTTCACTTCCCTCTATCCTAACCACCACCACCACTTCTTTAGTATCATTCCATTCTCTCAAAGCAAAAAAGTATTTCTTACTGAAGCTCTCATCTTTCTTTAATTTCTTCAAGAAAACCATACTAAAATGGCCATCAAAAAATCAACTAAGTTGTCACAATCTCCTGTTTTGAAGCAAATTTTGAAGAAGTGTTCTAGTTTGGGTAAAAAAAACGAAGACCACCTTCCTGTTGACGTACCAAAAGGACATTTTGCAGTTTACGTGGGAGAAAATAGGACTCGATACATCGTACCTATTTCTTTTTTGAGTCATCCTGAGTTTCAATGCCTCCTTCGTTGCGCTGAGGAAGAATTTGGGTTCGATCATGATATGGGCATTACAATTCCATGTGAAGAATTTGTTTTCCAATCACTTACATCAATGCTGAGATAATTAAATAATTGGAAAGAAGAAAAAAGGTGAATATTAGGTATTAAGCTTAATTTTGGAGTGAATTAAGAAAGATGTGTTCAAGATGAAGCAAGTTAAATTAGTAGTCTTTTTGCTTCTTTTTTTGTAACGTCTTTCTTTTCACTTTTTTTGTTTTTAATTTTTTTTTTATTTGTTTATTATTTTGTCAATTTCCTCTAACCCTGACCTAGGAATCACATGGATATTAGTAGTGTTTTTTTATGGGTTGGTTGGAATTTTTTTCCCTTGAAGTGGTGTTTTTTCAAGCACCCTATGAGAGAAGTTAATTATTAAATGTGTCTCAATATATTTAAATTTGCCGTTTTTTATACAAATGTCTATCAATTCTGTCTGTAGTTTTACTGTTCCTTCTCCGATCATAGTTATCTACTATGATTTGACGCATATTTAAGAAATAATAAATAATAGAATTAATATAATTACATATATTAAATTTAATACTTTAGAAAATGTATTAGATATTGAATAATAACAAGGATAAAATAGATTTAAAAAATAAATTATTTCTTATTTTTTTATATTGAATAACTATATTTAGTATAGGAGAGAGGTAGGGGAGTATATTTTTGTTTGGGAAAATTGAGAAGTTGAATTGAATTGTGAAGTCCAATGATGAGCGTGCCATATATAGTTTTCTCCGCCAATACTTATAATTGAGCAGTGCATTTTGTTTGTTGCTCTCTCTGTTTTACAGCTCTGCTTTTGAAAGATATCTGTTCAACAATAGTCGTTGATTATATTATTTTGAGATATTTAATAATATTGGTTTATTTTATAAAATTAATAGATAATATTATATTTAATTTCTAATTTATTTGTATTGGTAATTATTTTTATTACATTTTTTTAGACAGTGTATATATATTATATTTAGAGGGTGATATAATAATATTACCCAGCGTTTAAAAGGCGCCTGCGTGAGGTGAAACGTTTTATGCAGTACGGGGTAAGATGTAAGTCCCGAAACACGGAGCGTAAGTCTTATGGATCTACGGGGCGTAGTCTCATATATATTCATTTTAATAATTTTATTACTAAGAAAATAAGAAAAAGTAAAACTTTCAATTATTTTACAAATAAATTTTAATGAATAACTATAATATATAGAAAAAATATTATGATTTTTATTTGAGAAGGTAATAATAACCAATAATGAAGAAAAAAAAGTATTATAATTACAATTTCAGAAATATCATTACACCAATAATTTAAAAAAAAACATGATTTAAAGCAAAAAAGTACAAAAATAAAAAAAATGCCGAGGGCGTACGTTTTTACACTTGGAGCTTGCACCCTAAATTCTAGAACTTACGTCTTATGGATCTACGTGTTCAATTTGCACCCTAGAGCATTTTTGGTACGCCCCGCCCCGAGACTCTCCCCTAACTCACCCCAAAATTTTTTTTTGAAAACAATGATATTACCCTTCTATTTATAGTTTCTTAAAAAGTGTGTAAAGTTGATAGTAAACAAGTAGTATTGGACAGAGGGAGTGCTAAATAATTACCAATATACCTATAATCACGGCAGGAATTAGAGTTTATACCGGGGCAAGGGCCACTTAATAGCCTAAAGTCAAAATTTAATATTAGAAAATCAAATAAATATACATTTTGATTCACATTAAGTACTCTCTGCATTGTATTTAATATCATAAATTTCAAATTTTGAGTGACTATATCTCTACCTAGGGCATTAAGTTTTGCTATATAATTTATAGAAAGTATACTAAGATGAAAATATCAAGAAGTATGATGGTGTTGGAAGTGGGGTAGTATGTGTTTTTATCAATCAAATGACTATCTACTAGGGCCTAATATTTATGGCAATAACAACATATATATGAATGAAGAAGTAGTTAAGATAGGAGTTTCAAATAGTTGGTGCAGAGAGGGCCTAGTTTTACAGTATTAATAATTGGTTTTAACAGTAGTAACTATAGTTATTGTGAGTGAAACTGCAAGGGATAACATGGCCTCCCATGTGCCATCATACATCAAATTTGTTGTACACTTCTCTGTACTTTCATCACTACAGGGACCACCTCATCCTCATTCACATTCTATTATTACTTCGTGTTTTAATTTGTTACTTGATATGAAATTTTAAAAAAATAAATATTGTGTTTTTGACTAAATCAAAGAATTTTTGAATGTACAATAAGCAGTCTTTTTCAATTAAATAGACTAAAAAAATATAACAGAAAGAAATATATTTTTGCCGTCCAAAGAATTATAGGATTATATGTTTTTTTTTTGTCAGAAAAAAGTAAATACTAGCATATAACAAAAAAAAGTTTACAGATTGTGATTGTGCCACTACAGAAACAATCGAACTAACAGATGATGTATGTACAACCTGCCTAATCGAACTAATATTAAACATTAACCGGGACGCAGCCTGCACGCACTCTTCTACTATACAACTCTCCATTCTTGTTAGCCCGCAAAATATGTAGGATTCTATGTGATTTACTTGACTATGAAATATTCATATTTTCTATTGCTTCAGTTTTTAAAGTAAAATATTAGTATATGTTTTAAAACTAAACAAATGAAATCAATTGGATGTTCCCGACGCCAATCGAAACTGTTCCATAAGGAATTTCTTATTGCAAAGTTCATTTTTAGTTTTAAATCCTACGTAAGACTAACTCAAGAGTGGTCCGCCGATAAGCTCACGTACATAAAAATTTTGGGATAAATTATATAATAAAAAATTTGTTTTGGGCTTAATATTGAATATCCCCCTTATTCTATAAAATTTGGGATTAAACTAATCCAAAAATTAATTCTTGAATATCAAACGATTGCTAAGTGCCATACACAACTGATAATTTAGTCTACTAATCAAACGATTTTGGCTTATTTTTAAATTTTTTTATTCCCTCTTCTTCGTTAGTTTTCTTCATTCATACTCATTACATTTACTTACTCTTCATATCATTTTTTTTTAATTTACTGCATGACTGTTGGATCATCAGTCTCGTTTTCAGTACAACCCATTTTCAGCTACCTTTATCTGATCTTCTCTATATTTGCATGTGCATTTTCCTCTTTTTCATCTGAAATTCATCTATTGTTTTTGCTCATTTCGTCTAATATCACTTGTCCACATTATTAAAACTATATATCTCAAATTACTTTATTAAAACAAGATAGAAATTTATTAAAATTTCTAACTTGTAGAACTTTCAACTTTATATGAGTTCGATCCTACTCTCGATATCATAAATCAAGATATACATAAATAATTAATATATTCAAGATAACTACGATACGTATTTTATAAAATAATGTCCACACATCAATTAAATGAAATGCAATAAAAGATTGATAGGTATATGAATCGCTTTCAAAGAGCCATAGAACATGCAAAGGGAAATTAGTGTCTCTAGCTTGCTTTCTTTTTTGCTATTCTCTCATTATTGATCCAACGCTTTTGTTTGGGAATTTTAATTAATTCTGTGGTGATTATATTGGAGTTTGATATGGGGCTCATTTTCTGAAAACTACTACTCATCTGCAATATAAAAAGGACCACTTTCAAGAAGAAAAATATATTCTCTAGTTCTATTAAATATAATATCATTTTCATCAATAGTCTCGCGAAACAGGCTGGATTCAAACTCGTGACATTATGATTCAAATTATAGCATTTCAGTCATCGATTGTCTATTGGAAGTTGGAACGCAAACATCACGTTGTCAACATATTTCCCCTAATTAAGAGACCATAGGGCTACCAAAATTAAACACTAATTGATTAATCGGACAACTCACATGCAATATAATTAATTAGGCTGATTTATGCAAATCCCTTTTTGAAGATCTACTAAATTAGCCTCCGGATAATTTACACTGGGGCTTAATGTTTTGTTCATAGGTTGTTGAACTTTACGGAGAAAGCATTACATTATCGTTTAACGTTTGCAATGACTTATAAAATTTTAGGCTCTACAAATCTAACGTTTTCTCGTGAGATTTTTAATTTGCTCCAAAGGATCTTCAGACCGTGGTTTAAAAAGTTCAATATATTTCAAGAGAAATAAAAATAGTGAATTTACTAAACAAACACCGAACTTGCCAAAAATCCAAATACTTCAAGCATGAAATATATCAATGATTAAATACCGAGAATGGATAGAATTACCTTTAGTTGAGTGACTTTGGGTTATAAAACAAAGTTAATTGACTTTTTAAAAGAACTATCCTTAGTTGAGTGACCATTTGATCATATAATCTCTAAATTTGAGTATCTTAAGTTTTTGATTCTTTCGTACTTCTCTCCACTAATTAATTAATTAATTAACCATGTAATTATGCCAAGGAAAAATAAGTTTGAAAAAGTGAAGCAAGTACAAACTCACATGATCCTAATAACATATTAGTTTAATTTATGCAGACAACCCCAAATTAAAGATCAATCAGTTACATTGGTAGTTGGAGATGGTTACGTGGAATGTATAATGTCATACTTAGCTACCTGTTTTGTTGTTGCTTCCATAGCGAAAATATGACATGCGCTAATCGCTATGTATTTTTATATTAAAAAAAACGCGTTGGGTTTTTAAAATGTGTGAATGGAAAATGAAGAGTTGTGATCTTTATGAAGAGTTGTAACTTTTATGAAAAGTTGTGATATGTATGAAGAGTTGTAACTTTTATGAAGAGTTGCGACTTTTATGAAAATTTGCGACTTTTATGAAAGGTTGTGACCTTTCTGAAGGGTTGTGACTTTCCAAAGAGTGTCCTTTTCGATAAGGCACAATAAACATATGTTCACACTACCCTTTGTTGTCTATATATAGAAGGATTTCCTCTTATTTTAAATCAACCGATTTTCTGGACTTCTTCTACTACTACTAAATCTAGTATTCTAATTGTACTTTGCTGCCGCTGAGTGGTTCGCTGACACCGTGGTTATAGGTATCGATACACCGGTGAGTAAGATCGTTCTATCCTGAGAGGATATATTCCATTAACCTCGAGTACTTGTGGAGAATAACTTCCTTAAGGGGACACTAGTGGACTCAATTTTCTTCTTTGATAAAAATATTTCATATAATATTTCTAATCGGTTTATGATTTTATTTTTTCTCTATTCATTTTAATTTTCTAGTTTTGAAAATACTCTTTAAACTTTATTGTTTTTTATCAAGTTCTTCAAAAAAATTGTTCCAAGTATCTTAGAAATACAGGATAAACATCAATAAGCATATACACTCCACCTCTCGTCATAAGGTTGTGGGTTCAAGTCACCAGGCGAGCAAAATAATGTGATCTC